TACTAGAAAATGCTTAAGAAAAAATCAAGGATAAATAACTAGCAAATTAGACGGTCCTAAATACATGTCACCTAGAATATCTAATAGATATCTTATATGAATGTAGTAGAAGATGCTAGAGAAAAAATCTAGGATAGATATCTAGCAAATTAGAAAGTCCTAAATAAATATCACCTAGAATGTTCTAGATAGAAGTAGAAAGATGTAGTAGTCGTAAGCTATGTATTATATCGGTGGAAGCAAGAACCGACATACACTACTACTGTAAATACTAGTACTTGCCATGCAAATATAAGCAATTATTTATGTAATAAAGCTCATACTTTTCCAACCCACCACGACTTCCTCTTTAATTTCCAACAACATGATCACATCCTCAAATCAACAGCTCCGCTTCTTAGCAATTAAACCCACAAATCAAATACATAAATATATCTTTAGCACTTGTACCTATTCAAATTCATTACATCAATTCAAATTCTATTTAACAGAGAAATATGTACCACATCTAGCTAATTCATCACTTTCTAGTACCAAATTTCAAAAACTCAATTCACATTTGAGTGGAAATTTTTAATCCATAAAAAGCTCTAACAATTCAGATATTTAGACAGATGAAATTGTTAAAAAAAAAAAAAATCAATTTATTTCAAATGCTAAGTGTTCGGATAATTTAAAGCTTTGAAAAGTTAATAACCTTATTTCAAATAGTGTATTCAATAGAAATCAGAATTAGAAACAATACACCTAACAAAAGTTTCTTTAGGAATGTAAAGATATTGTCTTCATTACGCTTTTGATCTAATAGAATTTACCATAATCGAATCAACAACTCTAGTCTAACGACATAAATATAAATCTTGTCAATCCAATAAGACATAATTACAGCCATTACCTTAAATAGCCCAAAATGAATCTGGCATACTCTTTAAAAATTTAATTGTCCGAATCTAAAGTAAACTTAACAAATAGAACTTACAAAAGGGAAAATTTAATTGTTCGAACCTAAAGTAAACTTAACAAAATCACTCACAAAAGGCTTTTAACACTTGCACCATTTCAATCCTTTCAATAGAGAAATAAACTCAAACGGCATCAACGTTAACTTGTCGGTTCATCATTTGCTAATCCATTTCCTTCCACAATTCAACAACTCTCATTTCTAACCAAGTATACGGTATACAACTTAAAACTCAATAGTTGAAACTCCCACTCAAACTTATATCCTTCAATACATCTGACATTTCACCTAATAACTCTTTTCACGAATGTAATTTCTCCATGATTCAATATCACACTTTCTTCTAAGTAACACCTTCCAACCTTAAATGAACAACCCTTGTCAATCACAATAAGAAATAAAAATCAGCTATTACCCTAATATACATATGACATCCTTCTTAAAATTAAATTGTCCAGACCTAAAGTTACCCTAATAGTATAACTCACAAAAAGCATCCAAACAAATACAAAAATAACGTTAACACTTGCATCATTTCAAATCCTTTCAACTAAGAAAATAGTCATCAACGTATTCGAGAGCCCTCATTTCTGACCAACTATACGATACACCAACAAACTGAATAGAAAAAAAGCCATCAAAATACTTAAAATTCAACATCTGAAACTCCCACTCAAACTTATATCCTTCACAACAATGCATCAACTATTACACAACCCATGCGGACAAGCATCAGACTATCTAAAAAACATAAACCTTAATTTATGTCCTTAAAATTTGATAGTATAAAATGGAGCAGCTTAGCAAACTAATTAGATCAATCAGGATTGAAAATTCTAAATCCACATACCATAGACTAATTACCCAAAGAAACATGCATCAACTTCACATGATCACATCCACAAATCAACAGCTCCGTTCTTGCCAATTAAACCCACAAATCAATACTACATAAAAACCATTAAAACATTTAGAACTCACTCAAACCAGCATCTCATACTCCCCTCAAACATAGATTCATAATAAGACCAGCCAGAAACACTTAATAATTACCTAACCTCCATTACCACCTTCCTCATTCAACAAAGAAAACTATGTAAACCAAACCAAATGGTAAGAGAAAACAGAAATTTGAGCTTACAAGTGTAATTAAACCCCTAAGCAACCTAAAAAAAATTCAATAAATTCAGCCAAAAATTAAGATTTTTCAAAAGTTCACTTTTTTATTTAGGGAAAAAAAGTGTTTTTTTTTTTTTTACAGAACAATGTTAATATTTTTGTGTAACACTTGAAACATAAAAACTTCACACTATACCCTCTTCCTCCTTTCCATATACAGCATTACAAACCGAATCATAACATAATTGGAGTAGTTCAGATAATTATACTGAACACAAAACAACAACAAAAATCAAAACAGGCAAAAATGCAACTAATTTGAGACAATATTCTGGAAATAAACTTAAATATTCAACTCAATAAATCAACAAAACAGAAAAAAGTACCCAAAAAATTCCTAAACTCTGAAATAAATTTCGCTAACCGTAAGTGAATTCCTCGTAATTCTACTTCATCAACACCGAAAAATCGGCTAATGTACTGGAATCACCGCCGACAAAACCGTCGAATTTCCAAGTCAAACACTGATTTGTTGCCTAAAACGGTAATTTTTCCCCAAAAATTGAAGATTTTGATCGATAATTTCATGTAATCCGAGTAAAAACTAGACGAATTGGAGAAGAAATGAACACCGTTTAGGGTTAGGATTTTAATCGGAATTTGTTGGAATTTCACCGAGAATAGGTTGATCGGAGAGAAATTTTAGGGGTTAGGGTTTGGAATTTTCACCGAATATGAGGAAGATTTCTATAAACGATTGTTGGATTATAGATTTATGGCGGTGCGGTAAAATTATGTATGAAAATTTGTCAGAAACAACCAAATGTTAATTTTCAGCTCTAGGTTTGGAATTTTCACCGATAACCAAATGTTACTTTTCGGCGTTGACTCTATATTTCTCGATTGTGTGCGAGTCACGTGACCTTCTATATTGCTTAATACACCCCTTTTCCCTTCAATTAACTCCTATTATGCTTCTCTTTTATCCCTCTTTTAGTACGAGTGAATTGAAGAGAAAATTGGTGTATTAAGCCATATACAAGTTCATGTGCGTTGCACACTAGTGGTCAACATCGGGAAAAATAGAGTCAAAGCCGGAAAGTAGCATTTGGTTGTTTTGATAAAAAAAAAAATTATAATGTGGTCTGAAATTGCAAAAAAAAAAATTAAAAGGTTGTTTTTAATTAAAGTGGACACTTTAAAAGGTTGTTTCTGACAAATTTTCCAATTATGTATATTAGAAACAAATGTGCCCTTGAAATCTGCTCTGCTATGCCCAAAAACTCAAAAAATAGGGCCTTAGACCCATTATTGTTGCATGATTGTTTGATTATTTAGCATTTAAAAGAAGAAATGTTGTTCTCTTTGCCTAACTTAAACTGGTTTTATGTGAGTTTATTATAGTTGTTCTCGTTTAACTTACAAGGTATTTGTATTTATCACGTATATACCTTATATTACTGAACACTATATAGGGTCTTAACTTATTAGACTATATATTAGATCTTAATGGCCCTTATCTTAATTTGAACGTCCTAGCCTTCTTTATGTGTATTTTTGAATTTATTTATTTTACCATCTTACGGTCTTACCTAATAAATTTATTAGTCCTAAACTTATTTTATCTTATTTAAACTAATTATCAAATATAAGATACTTGAAAATAAGATGAATTGAGTTAAACAAACCTAGGCTGGACCATTTATCATCTCTAGAATAATGATAATGAAGTTTATCATTATCAACAAGAAGAAGAAGTAAAATGGAAGAACCGCCCAAATAAAAAGTGAATGATAATGATGATCACAATATAATGGACATCCCCAAACAACCTTATCACAAAGGATTGGTCAAATTTTAGTAAGTTTTATTAGAGGTTGTGACAATTATGTCAACACTGACATGACAAACTGTTGGGGTATATCATATATGGCTATATGCCGTGTATTTCCAAACTTATGAAGTCCAAATTCCTCGTGAGATCTATATGCAACTATGCAACAGCCCTTTTGTCAAAAAAAAAAAAAAAAAAAAAAGAAAAAAACTATGCAACAGCCCACCTCTTAAAAAATCTTACTATGTAGGTACATTTTTCTTCCTAAACCGACATAATTACTTTCTCTGTTTCTTTTTAAATATATACTCATTTACAATGAGAAAAATATATCTAATAATAAAGTGGTTTAAGTGTAATTTGTGTAAAAAAGAAAAAAGGATAAAATAGAATAAAGTGAATGAAATTGTGTAAATATTGTAATGGGTGAATGCTTGAAGGGTAGGATAATACATGTGTTTGCTAAAACTAGAAATAAGTAGATCGATTGGGTTTGTCTTTCGGTCTTTTCCTCTCTTCCAATGAATCTAACTTACAAAGTTGGACTGAATTAATATACGAGATGTATCCATTCAATAAATTGAAAAGTCATTTTTTATTGTTTCAAAAAAAATAAAAAACAAAAAAGTGTCATTTTTTAGTCTTTAATGTTCAATTTTTACGTACGTAAAGGATCAAAGGATCAAGTTTGGAGCATCTTATGATTCATGCCCATGATCGAATATGTCATTTTCCTATTTTGTATTGTCAAGCAAACCATGAATATTGTACCGATACCCACAATCCCCAATTTAGGTCTTATGTTAGTATAGTTAAGAGAGCTAAACCCTCTTCTTGTTTTACTTGTAGTGTCGAGTCAATTGAGAGCTAGCTTCCAATATGATCCGTTGTAGAAAAAAAAAGGTACTTTAATTTTTTATAGATAAAATTCAATAATTTTCCATAAATGCCAACATTAATTTATTTCTTTACAACTTCAATAAATACAATTGTTTTATTTTTTCACACACAAATAAATACAATTGTTATTGTTATGTCCTGTGTAAAACACAAATGCTAAAATATTAATATTAAAGAAAAAGGGGGGGGGGGGGAAGAAAAGGGATATTTGCCAATACTATTTATAGCCTAACACCCACGACCTCCACTCTTATATTTTGTGTGAATTATCCACCTAACTACCTACTTTCATTCCATTCCATTCCATTTCTTAAAAATTACAAACTCAACGCACACTCACAACCAAAAGCAAACAAAAACAAGTAGCTAGCTAGTGATTTAGCAAACTACATACAAATTTGAACTTCATTCTCTTCTACCCAAAATAATGGATTTGGAAACCAACAACACTAAGGACTTCACCAATGATGGCACCATGGATCTTCGTGGCCGGCCCGTGATCGCCTCTAAGACGGGCAAATGGAAGGCTTGTGCTTTTCTTCTTAGTAAGTTTCTTCATATATATTAGAAACTAACATGTCTTTTACCATACTCCTTTTAATTTGCCATTTATATATACTAACACTTGCTACAATAATATGCATGTTTATTGTTTTTACTCTTTTATGTAGCTTATGAAGCATGTGAAAGAATGGCCTTTTATGGAATAGCGTCAAACTTGGTGGTTTATTTGACTACCCAACTTCATGAAGACACTATTTCATCGGTTAGAAATGTGAATAATTGGAATGGAGTGGTATGGATGACACCGATCCTTGGAGCTTACATCGCCGACGCTTATCTTGGTCGATTTTGGACTTTCACCATCTCTTCTCTCATCTATGTCCTGGTAAAGTCTCTATACAATCTTGTGCAGTTACATACTACATACACTTCTTTGTGAAATATGTATGCTTATTTTGTCTTTACAAGTTCTACTCACTTTTCGTTTTAATAATCCATTTATTATATTCGAATTATGCACACTTTTACTTTAATCCTTTCATATATATGGCTACCGTTTTGTTCATATATATTTTTTTCATCTCCAATCCCACGTTACAGGAGTCTATGATTATTTAAATAAACTCTTACTTTTTTTTGTTTAACATTAAATAAATTATTCTAAATCTTGGTCTATGTATGTCCACCTGAAAGCAAAAATCTCGATCAACATCAAGTATTAGTTGTCACAATACAATTTGATGTCAAGTTGTACTATTAACCTAACAATCTAACATATTTAGGATGGAACGATAGGAACCTTGATTTTTGTTTGAGAATTTATAGTTAATTCCGAAGATTGAAAACAAGTGAACAAGAAATTGAACTTCTTTCATGATCAAGTCTATGTTCCTACTATCCTACATACTCATATTTTGAGCCTCATATATTTTCCTAATAAATCGAAAATTTGTTAATTTCATTCATAGTCTTCTACTCCCCACCACAGCTAGTTGATCAATAGATTTCACGGTTTTAATTAGAATCAATAGTGGGTCCAAAAAAGGATGTCTTATTCAAAGTAAATGCGTAGGACACGATTTAAATGGATGTGGATTTGCAACATTGCTCTCCACGAATGAGGCTTAATGTAGTGAAATAGCTCATGATTCTTGGTAGGGTTAGGTATTTTTGTCTATTTTATGACGACTAGTCGACTAAAATGTTAAAATATGGATTTTTTAGAAAATCTATTATGCTTAATGCATATCTCTTTTGGTGTTGATAATGACTAAAATCATGGTAATCTAGAACATTAAAGTTAATTTTTTTCATTATATTATAAATAAGCATATAGTTTTACATAAATATGCATGAGTGCACTAAAGAATTTGCTTTAACCCCGGCAATTTGGTGTAGAGAATGATTAATCATGGAAATCTAGAGGTTATAAGTCATGGTTTTTATTATATTAAATAAGCATATGGCTTTATATAATTAATTATATATATTCACTAAGAATTTTCTTTTAGGATATGACTACTTCACTAGATTGGGAGTTTGTGATTCACATTAATGTGTACCAAACTAATAATATAAAGTTTGTCTTATTTTATTGTAATGATAAGTTTCTACCATAAACATATTCAATGTTTTTGCTCAATTGAATCTAGCTCCAAAGTCAATTGTGGGCCAAAGAAGAATGTTTTATATATGCAATTATATATGATGTTAAAGTATACCAATTTCATGCAATTAGAAGCACACACTCCTCAATAATATGAGACTATTTTACAAAGGATTTAACCGTGTGATTTTCTATCTTATGTATTTTTAAAAACGCCTGATAAATAAACGCAAATTTCTTTAGTTATGTACTCTATATATTACTTATTTGATACGGACAAGTTGATATTATATATTTACTTTTCGAAACTTGATAGGGCATGGTACTCTTGACAATGGTTGTTTCCATTAAGTCCTTCAAACCAACATGTACCACTGGAACATGCAACACTGGCTCTTCACTTCCAATTGTGTTATTTTACGCTTCTCTTTACATCATTGCCATAGGCGCGGGAGGCACAAAGCCTAATATTTCGACATTTGGGGCAGACCAGTTTGATGATTTCGATCCAAGTGAGAAAGAGCTCAAAGTCTCCTTCTTCAATTGGTGGATGTTTTGTGCCTTCTTAGGTGGTTTATTTGCCACTTTAGGGCTTGTGTATATCCAAGAAAACTTGGGCTGGGGGTTAGGTTATGGTATACCTACCATTGCCCTCATCTTATCTTTGATGGTGTTCTATTTGGGAACTCCAACATACCGACACAAGCCTAAAAACATAAAGAGTCCTGCAACAGATATCGTGAAAGTTGTTACTAATTCAATGGCTAATTGGAAACTTAAGGTTCCTACTGAGCCTAACCAACTACAAGTGGTTCGACCACCTTACTACATCACCGATGGAAAAACCCTAGAAAATAATGGACCTTCAATTTTCAGGTTAGTTACTTCAACTATTCGTCTATTCTTTCATTTTTTACATTTCGTATGTAACTTTATACACTGTTTAGGAGTATTATTTATAACCCTTAAAATAATATCTCACAATATCCAAAAGAATGAAAAAAAATATTAATAGACTTTCATCATGAGTTCATACATCTGGTGTGTACACAAGAGTGGTCGTTTGCTCATTTGATGGTATTTTTTTGCTCATTTTTTTAGATATACTTCTTAATTTTTTTTTTTTAAAAAGATATAAAGTATTAAATGAACCGCAAATACTCTTACATTGCACCTTGCACCCGAATGTATCTAGAAGATTTCAATCCATTTGTACTAAATAAAAAAATGACCTTTTCAAATTAAATTGCATATATACCCCAGAGTGAGGGAAACATGTTTTGTTGGAGGAGGGACAATTGCAAGCTGTAGCCAGTTTATGATGGAATATTATTGTTGATTCTATGGTTTGTTGAGGCTCATTTATAACATTGGTATTGAATATTGATGTTTGAGATTCATGTGTTGTAGAAATAGTAAAAGTACGTACATTTTATCAAGATTTTTCATTGATGAAATTACGAGTAAATGTTAATGGGCCCAATTTGTCGGGTACTGCTAGGATTGTGCTACTACTATGAAGCCTAGGAAAAAGGATAAAAGCGCACAGTAGTTGGCCCATTTTCATTATTTTTAGGCCATCCATTCATAAATTCATGCATGTGCATTATTCCTGCTCAGAAATGTACAATAGTTGATCCCAAATTATTGGGGCATGTCCTATGATCCAATCTTCTCAATGTGTATCATGCTTTTAGATGTGCTACAATGTCAAACTATGTGTGTCCAAATTCTTTCTACCTTTGAGATCCTTTTTTTTTTTTTTTTTTTTTTTTTTTTTTTTGTTTTGTCTTGAAAAACCAATTTAATGGAACTATTTATTTATATATTACGAAGTTGTGTAGAGTACGGAGTATAATAGAACTATAAGACTTTAGTGCGCAGTAGTATAATTAGATTATTTACCTTTTTTTTAGGAATTCCGATGTATAAGATTTATCATATCCATTAAGTCAGGTTATTTTTACTTTAATATAGAAGATGACCAAAAGGGAATTAGTATACTAATTAGTTATTGCATTTGAGTAAGTCAAAAAAAAATTAAATCATACGGAATCTAAGTAGATCTTAAAGGTTCAAACTACATTACCTTATGGAATCGAATGATATCCTTAGTGGACCAAAAAGCGAAAGAAAGGACCTACACAACTATTTACCCGAACGTTTATTTAATATATTATTGCTATACATACTAAAAGTTGGTTAATTAGTTAGTACAATTGTACTACAATTTATGATTTTGTAGATGCCCTAATAGAGTACGAGTAGTAGCTTTTGACATTTAAATTCATATAGATGGACCTCAAAATGATAGGAATATGCATTGTGATTGACGGCACTCTTGCAAGTTGTAGTCTTGTCTTTCCTTCCAAGATTATTGGTTGAGGCTCATTTATACCTAGATTTTGGAGTTGAAGATTCCCTTCTATCACATTTTATAGGCAATCACCCATTTACTGAATTTGTGATAAAAACGTGAATTGTACTATTTTGCTTTTTAAAGAGCCTCCTTTTTTTTTAAGAAAAAAAAATATTTAAAAAAAAAAAGATTTGAGTTTATTTGAGGGGAGATATCCCTTAATTGAGTTCCATTAGGTTTTATTCTTACACAGGATTTGAAATGGAGAGGTGGCGCAACTAGTCTACTACATCAACCTCTCAATATATTAATATATATATTTTTAACCTAATATACATAATTTTTTATTCATCATTTTTTTAAAAGATTGTCTATATTTTTTTTTGGTAAATTTCTTTTACTTTTAATTTTCAACTCTTTCATTTTCGTATAGCTCTATTCATTGAAACTTAAGAAAAACAATATACTATAAAAATAATTCCAATTCGTTCAATAAAATTAAGTGTGGTTAAGTAAAATTAATATACTTACTTTTTTAGTATTAAGTTGGGAATTTATCAACAATTCATGAGTAAATCGGTGTAATAAATGTTTAATTATTGTCAATTTTTTCCATTTTTAACTTATTATATACAGACTTAGAGCTGCATATATCTTTTTCCTTGTTTTATTTGCAATTTTTCATCGCTAAATATTGACCATATATATTTAAGAATACAAATTGATACAAATCTACTGTTGACCACTATGAAGAATCTTTTATCATTAACAGGAGCTTTGTGACTTTTTGTGAGACTGGATGAGTGGTTAAAGTATGGTCCATTTATATACATTTTTACTACTTTTAGATTTCCACTGGTAAATTTATACATGTGCCATTTTAAATATTGCAAAATATTACGTACAATATTAATTACTTGCTTTTTTTTTTTTTTTTTTTTTATTTTTATATAGTACTCCATATGAGGTTGGTTCTAAATTGTTAATTTGTTATTGTCAGATGATTCCCTTTTTTTTTTCTTCTTCTTTTTTTCGTGTTTTCTTATTCTACTCAATCCCACTTTGTAGTTTAATGTATTTTCAGTCGACATGCTAGGTTTGTTCATTTGATTTGATATTTGGTTTTTTTGCAAAACAAACAACAATAATGCAACATCATTGTCTCAAAAAATAATGCGAAAACGATTTATTGTATCAACATGAAGAGTCCACTTCCTTTTAATTAATTAAAAAAGATTTCTTCTCTTTATCATAAAATAAAAATATATGAGAGGGGAAGAAAATGCATTTTTTTATATTAAAAACCTAAATGTATATCGCGCGAGCTGAAGTAATGGAATACTGGTATCACTCTTAACCTCTCGATTTGAAATCTTTGTATACAGGAGTCAAATTTTGCGGGGCTCATCATTTGAAAGGTTTTCTTATCCTTTCAAACAAGAATATACAAAAATAGTTACTCCGTATCATAATACCTATATATATTAGATGTCACAATTTGAGAAATATATATACGAATGTTAGTTTATGGCTTTATGCTAAAGTGGTCTTGTTTCATTTAATCCCTTTACTTATCGACTAGGGAAGCAAATACCTTAGTCAGAATACATGCGTAGCACGATTGATGGAAGAGTTTCACTACCTTATCAGATCAATGTCAAAGACCAAATCAATATATACATCATGAAAGTGACAGTCGTACCTCAACTTGAGTTGGCTTGATGTTATATTCTATGATGGAGAGATGATTCTTTTTATTTGTGATAAGCCCTTTCCTACCTTCCTCATAATAAAATGATGTTACCTATAGTACATGCATTTAATTAATGAATAATAATGCTTATCTTAGGCACTTAAAATTACAACTCGTTTAATTGACAATACTAATAGAAAAAATAAACCGACTTATAATTATAAAGTTTGAACGTGTTTTTACTAGGAAAGTCTTGTATGTGCTGATGTCTATGTTAATAATATTTATATATGCACGAGCAGTCGAGCACTCTGAATGTTACGTGTTATAATATAAGTAGTTAATTTTCATTTGTTTCATGTAGGTTTTGGGACAAGGCAAGCATAAAAGAAGGTAGCTCGAGGCTACCATGCACAGAAGCACAAGTTGAGAAAACAAAGCAAGTATGTGGGATGATTATGATATGGCTAGTACTCCTCATACCTAGCACAATTTGGGCTCAAATTAACACCCTCTTTATTAAACAAGGAACTACCCTAAACCGTCACATAGGAAGTACCTTCCAAGTCCCGGCCGCCTCCCTAACTAGCTTTGTTACCCTATCAATGCTCCTCACCGTGCCTTTTTACGACCGCTACTTCGTGCCCTTTATGCGAGCAAAAACCGGCAATCCTAGAGGGATCACCATCCTCCAACGACTAGGCATTGGTTGCATCATCCAAATTGTGGCCATAGCATTCGCCTACGTAGTGGAGATGCAAAGAATGCATGTAATTAAGGAGGAACATGTACTAGGTAAAAATGCTAGGGTTCCAATGAGCATATTTTGGCTATTGCCTCAATATGTACTTATTGGTGTGGCGGATGTGTTCAACTCGATTGGTTTGCTTGAGTTTTTCTACGATCAATCCCCGGATGACATGCAAAGCCTAGGGACAACGTTTTTTACTAGCGCGATTGGAGTTGGAAATTTCTTGAATAGCTTTCTTATTACCATGGTAGATAAGTTGACAGGTAAAAATGGGGGGAAGAGATGGATAGGTAACAATTTGAATGATTGTCACTTGGACTATTACTACTTGTTCTTGTTTGGGTTGGCTATTGTGAATATGGGGGCATTTTTATGGGCATCAAGTGTTTATGTGTACAAAAGGGAGCCTAAAATTGTGCAAGAGGATGGCAACTATGCTCACATGGAAGGGAAGATTGTAGATGCTACACTAGGATTATAAATATGTATTAGGTTAATTTAATTAACTAGGAAGGTTGTTAAGTTTTTAATTTGTAAGCTTTCTTTATAGTGTATTAGTCTAAGTGATGATATAAATAAGAATTCGTCACTGGATGTCACTTAAGAATAGATTTTCCGTATATTAGACTTGGTAAAATTAATTAATCTCTATCAACTTAATTTGACAAAATCTTAACTTTGATATGTTTGATTTTATATCACTCTGATTATATGTGAATTGAATTACTCCGTAGCTTGAATTTGACCCGATTTGATTAACAAACTAGATCAAAACAATCACTTTTGGGCTTTGCCACTTTCTTATAATTTATATCTCAATCTTTTTTCTACCGAATTATTAAGCCCAATAATTTGAATCTAATGCAATTGTGCAGTTAACTATATCCATCTACTCCATTTCATTCGGTATGTGATGTGCTCTTCTTGAATATCTAACATTTCTTGTCCAAATAGTCGGCTATTACAATTGGGCCTAAAACGGGTCCATAACGAGGTGCCAATTTTCTGATTTTTATTTTATTTTTTTTCTTTTCTCTTTTCTGATTCTTCAACCACTCTGTTTTTTGGCTTTCAACAAAAAAGAAAAAAAGGAAAAAATAAAAATAAAAATAGGCCCAACGTATAACACTTCATCATTACTATAAAAAAAAATATTTGAATGAAAGAACACAGAGAGAGTCTAGATATAGTAGAATAATCCAAGATGCATTATATTACAAATTTACAAGTAATGTAACCTTTAACAAGTGATGAAATCAATTAATTTATTGTATACGAGAAGATACAATTGATGAATGTTCCTCGTATAAAATACGGAGTACTTAGAAATTTTAAGTCATGAAGAGTATTGTACTCATATGATTTTAAATTTAATTTGTAATAATAAACACCAATTGGAAAAAAAAAGTATGGGATCACGTGCAAATAAAATACTAATTAAAAACGATAACTTGTACGAAGGTTTGTATTAACTAGGGCACCGGAGTAAACATACTCTAAATTTGATATTAAATTCAATTTCATTAATATGATTAATAAAGATGGTTTCATTTACATATTTCGATATTTTGTAAACAACAATAACAATAAAACCAATATAAACTACTGCGGTGTACATTAAAGAATGCTTCCTAAATAATCAAAGGATTCGTCATCATCAGTGTCCTCGGGTTCCAATTCAAATCGGCAAAAAGGGCAAACACATTTTTTATGAAGCCATCTAAGTACACAAGGCTCATGAAACACATGCTCGCAAGGCAACTTCACAAGTGACTTAGCTTTAACTATTTCAACATTACTATGAACATCAGTACTACTAGTAGCGGTATCATTATTATCGATCTTTAGATCTTCGTCCTCTTTGTTTTTCAATTTTTCCAAAACTCGCTATCATCATTAAAGCTTACCTTTTCTAACCCCGTTATAATTGGTATCTCCTCTTCAAAAAAATCCTTTCCGGACCATGCCCTAAATTCCTCTTCATCGCAAACTCGATCAAGAGCATAAAAATCAAGCTTATACTCGTAAATATCAATCATTGCCCCGTAACGTCATAACGATCAATTTACACCATACTTCATCGCATAGATGTTTCTGTTAAGATAATTATGTAAATTATTAGCTTAGTCAACGTATATATTGTTTCCTAGTTTATAGGATATGTTTTAGTTAGTTTCCTTGATATTTGCCTAGGATTATGCCTAGATTATACTGTGGATATTTGTATAAATATTAATGAGCAATGAAGGAAACGACTCACGGAAAACATTCTTTTATGGTATCAGCAGTCTAGGGTGATCAATCTTCCGCTGCACCCTCGCTTTCCGCCATTACTCTTCTTCTCTTCTTCTTCTTCTCTGCTATGGGGGAATCAAAATCCTCTTTCCACCCTGCTCTTACTGTCAACAATATCAAGCACAACATCCCTGTTGTTCTCGAATTGACGGACGCACAGTACTCTACTTGGGCTGAATTGTTTAAAATTCATGCTCGATCTCACAAGGTGTTAGACCATATTATCCCTCCGCCTAAGGAGAAGGCGAAGGTCCCTGTCACTGACGAGGAAAAGGAGACATGGTCTGTTCTGGACGCTGCTGTCCTCTCGTGGATTTATTCCACCATCTCCAACGATCTATTGCTCACCATCATGGAACCAGACGCTACGGCAATGGAGGCATGGGATAGGTTGCGTGATTTATTTCAGGATAATCAGCATTCTCGTGCTTTGACCCTTGAACAGGAATTTTCGACCACCAAAATGGAGGATTTTCCAAACGTCTCTGCTTACTGTCAGCATCTCAAGAGTCTCTCCGATCGATTGCGCGGTGTTGCTGCTCCAGTGGACAATAATAGGTTGGTTCTTCAATTGGTTTCGGGTCTTACCGAGGCTTACAAGGGAGTTACGACCCTTATTCGCCAGAGCAATCCTCTTCCTCTGTTTTCTCAAGCACGGTCGATGCTTACGCTGGAGGAGGCCGGTCTCGCAAAGCAAGCCGCAACAGGGGCTGCGTCAGCCATGGTGATTCAGTCCCGGGATAATTCTGATGATGGTCATGATAATGCTGGGGGTTCTCGTGGCCGCAATAAGCAGAAACATTCAGGCAACCGCAAGCATTCCGGTGGAAAAGGCGGCGGTGGCAAGGGTGGCAACTCCGGTGGCAAAGGTGGCGGCCGAGGGAACTCCGGCCAACACCAGCAACAGTGGCAGGCTCCTTCGGCTCCCTGGCAGCAGCCGCAATGGGCACAGTACCCGGGTTGGGGATGGATGCCTCAATGGGCTACCCCTCCATGCCCATACCCCAATCTGGGCTGGGCTCGTCCTCAAGGCCCACAAGCAAAGCAGCCTGGTCTATTGGGTCCTCGTCCACAAGCCTATGCAGCTTCAACTCAGCCTCAGCAGTACGCTCCAACCGACATTGAAGCGGCTATGCACACTATGACGTTGAATCAACCCGACCCCTCATGGTACATGGACACCGGAGCCACTTCTCATATGACATCTTCCAACGGTAATATCTCGTCTTATTTTAATTTGAGCAATCATCATGGTATTGTTGTTGGTAATGTCCATACTATTCCAATTAACGGTTGTGGTCATACTACTCTCTCTTCCCCTAATCCTCCCTTGTCCCTCAACAATGTTCTCCATGCTCCCAAACTCATTAAAAATCTAATTTCAGTTCGGAAATTTACAACCGATAATAATGTGACTGTTGAGTTTGACCCTTATGGTTTCTTTGTGAAGGACTATCGGACGGGGAGGCCAATAATGAGATGTAATAGCACGGGTGATCTTTATCCTCTCACCAACACCACTTCCACAACTTATTCTTCCCCTTCGAGTTTTGCAGCGTTAGCACCTTCTCTTTGGCATGATCGTTTAGGTCATCCCGGGTCGGGTATTTTACATACTCTTCGTAGTAATAAAAGCATTGAGTGTAATCGGACTACTAGTTCTAGCATTTGTCATTCTTGTGTTCTAGGGAAACACATTAAATTGCCTTTTTATTCTTCTATGTCTTCTACTACTTTGCCGTTTGATATTATACATAGTGATATTTGGACATCTCCTGTTTTGAGTTCTTCGGGACATCGTTATTACATGCTTGTTTTGGACGATTTTACTAAATTTGTGTGGACTTTTCCCTTGGCTAAAAAATCAGATGTGTATGATAAATTTTTCGCTTTTCAATCCTACATCCGCACACAATTTGAGCGTCCTATAAAAAACATCCAATGTGACAATGGGCGGGAGTATGATAATAGTTCTTTTTGGGAATTTTGTGAGTCAAATGGGTTGTCTTTCCGTCTTTCTTGCCCACATACGTCTCCACAAAATGGTAAAGCCGAAAGAAAATTGAGATCTCTTAACAATATCACTCGCACTCTTCTCTCTCATGCCTCTTTACCTCCTTCTTTTTGGCACCATGCTTTACAAATGGCCACTTATTTGCATAACATTTTACCTAGCAAGTTGTTAGGCAACAAGTCTCCTCTTAGTGTTCTTTATCAAAGGGAACCTTCGTATTCTCACTTACGAGTTTTTGGGTGTTTATGTTTTCCTTTATTCCCCTCCACCACAGTAAATAAACTCCAACCCCGATCCACTCCTTGTGTGTTTTTAGGTTTCCCTCCGAACCATAGAGGCTATAAATGTTATGATCTTTCATCAAACAAAATTTTCATATGTCGTCATGTGCTATTTGATGAAACCGTGTTTCCATTTGCTAAGGTGCATACTCCCTCTACCACTTCTTATGATTTTTTGGATGATGGTTTTTCCCCGTATCTGATTAACCATATGCAGGCTGCTTCATCTACTGGGCCTAGTAACTCGGCCCAACCTCCCTTACATGAACAAGCCGCCCCTTCCTCTCCTCTCTCTACTGGGTCGACTGCTCCAACAAGCCCAGCCCACACAGCTCCACAATCTCCCTCTCATCTCACGGCCTCCCCCCCCTCTGCTGGGCCGCAACTACAAAACAGCCCAAACACTACTCCTCCCCCAATCTCACCCACACCAACTGTCCAACCCATTATCTCCATCCCTCCTCAGCCCACTCCTCGTTCCACTATGGTCACTCGTAGCCGACATGGTATTTTTAAGCCAAATAAAAAATATTGCAATGTTGCTACTGTTTCTAAGGTTACAAAATCTCCTATTCCTTGTAATCCAATAGATGCTTTACGTGACCCTAATTGGAAAATGGCTATGGATGATGAATTTAATGCTCTTATTAAAAATAAGACGTGGGAGTTGGTGCCCCGTCCACCTAATGTTAATGTCATTCGGTCTATGTGGATTTTTACTCATAAGGTGAAATCTGACGGTTCTTTTGAGAGGCATAAGGCCCGTCTTGTAGGTGATGGCAAAACTCAACAGGTGGGCATTGATTGTGGAGAGACTTTTTGTCCGGTGGTCAAACCGACAACTATTCGGACTGTTCTTAGTCTAGCTTTGTCAAAAGCTTGGCCTATTCATCAACTTGATGTAAAAAATGCTTTTTTACATGGTGAGCTAAAGGAGACGGTTTATATGCATCAGCCGGTTGGTTTTCGTGATAAGACTAATCCAGATTATGTGTGTTTGTTGGATAAGTCCTTATATGGCCTTAAGCAAGCACCCCGGGCATGGTATAAAAGGTTTGCTG